GGTATATTGGTTACGTCGCAATGTTGGAAATATTTCTGTTTTAAACCATGAAGGCGATGGATATCTCACACACAAGCAACGTGCAAACTTTGCGCAAGGGTTATGCCGGTGAACGTCTTAATCTCAATCAATTCACTATGCAGAAAGTGAAAGTAAAAACGGAGTGACGGAGTAATGACGGAGCTTTCGGCATCTGATGCCACATATTCTCTCAGAGACGACGAGACTAATCTTCTTCAAGATATGCTGATAACGGTATATAGCTAGCTAACTATTTTCATTTATTCCCTTAATATTTCTAATATTACATAGTGAAAAAAATGAGAAGAAACATATTTCGTGTTAAATAGGTTGTTTTTGAAAGTCGGTGCTTGAAATAAAAGCTTTTTATTTCATTGATTTTTATTGATGACTGCAGTGTTAATATTTTAATTGTATGCCTATAATTCATTGTATAATAGACCTGTTTTAAAATACCTTTTATAAAAACATTTTAATTGTGGAGTAAATAGCCTAATCTTTTGTTATCCTCACAGCACGTTAGTTATTTGGTAATTATTGCGGGTCAAATTAATTGTAATTTTAATTTAATAATAAAAGTAACTTCATAATCATAATAATAATAATAATAGGCCTAATAAAAATAAGAATGTAACAGGCCTACATTAATTGAAAATGCCAAATATCTTAATATTGCCAACAATTTATGTTTTTGACAATATTTCTGGCTATCGTCGATACAAGATCATCGTCTTTCGACGCAACCCAGCAAGGGGAGATTACCGCGGGGCCTTTCGCAGTACGTGCCCAGCGTGCCCGTCCACTAGACAGCACGTTGCTTGTTACGTCGTTTGGGCTGCCTTGTTGAGCGCAGTGGCACAGAGAACATTATATTTCACACACTTTAATCTAGGACTGCATGATAATGGTTAATCTGATAATTAGTGGTCGACCGATATATCTGTATCTATATCTTGGTATTTTTCAAATATCGGCATCGGCCGATAAGTTTTCCTGTTTGGCCGATGCGTTTGAGGCGGGACTTTTATTTTGACGGCGCAGAGAGCGGCAGCGCCTGAGCACACAGTGCTCACATTCTCCCTCTTGTTCGCTGTCGTCGTTAACAGTTTTGTCTAATACGGATAGAAGTCTGTCTAATAATCAGATAGAACGGTTAAACAAAGGAATTAAAATGTATACAAAAAGTATTATAACGATTGCTTTTATATTATTAGTAATAGAAAGGCAAACATTAGAATACTTTGTTTGCCGTCAGCATTCAGCAAATACGCATTTATATCATTTAAACGAATCTTTGAATGACTAATGAACATTTAATTTCACAAACCTTGCAAACTTAGTCAAATCCAGCTGTGAGATCTTGTGAAGTGTGCATTTGTATCCTGCATGATTGTGTGTGCTCTGTGTGACGGTTGGTCTGTGTGAATTTAATGCGGTAAGGAGGAGAGTTCAGCTTCACTGGAGATGCGCGATCGACAAACTCGTGATTTTTAATTGTGCTGCGCTTTATGCATTTGCCCACTGCCATATTCATGTCGTTTCCACTGTGTGCTGTATGTAAAATGAGTGTTACCTTGGCTTTATTTGAAAAATATGATTCCCAATGCACACAAACTTCCCAGAATACTGAGTGCCCTGTTGGCTACAGTGTTTACTTCCATTTTAATGATATTTTTATTAAATATTAATTTATTTGTGAAAAATACTTTGTCATCTAAAATGTATATTTAACACATTTTTTTAATCCATTTTCAAAGGATTTCAAATTTCTTAAATATTAAAATAAATAAAATTATATCGGCTTTATATCGGCCACCCTACTTTCCAATATATCAGCATCGGCTGTCAAAAAACCAATATCGGTCGACCACTACTGATAATCACGATTATTTTGATAAAAATTATAATCACGATTATTAATAACGATTATTCTATCAAAAGGGTAAATGCAATAACATTTCATTTGTCCTTTAACCAACCTCCACTGACTACATATACACCGACTTCATTTAAACAACTATGATAATACAAAACTCATGGTTTTGGTTAGTGTTTTGTAATCTGTACTCACATTAGATTTTCTAAGTGACAATTTGTTCGCAAATAAGACAAGCCACTCAGATTGCGCAGTAAATTTGCTCAAAAATCGTTAATACACACTGATAATAACATTGCCATGCCGTTTTCAACTGATTAACATTATGAAAACTGGTAAAAACTTTAGAAACTCCTAATATAACTTAAAATAATTCAAATGTATGTACATTTTTCCCCATTGTATTGCCACAGGCAGCAAAAGCGCATTTATTCCTCAAACACAATAGATCCATTATTGAAACTCGGTGAAATTTTGATCATGGCAGATTTGGTTACACAAGCAGCACAAATGGCTTGTGAAAAAGCACACATTGGCTGTATGACACTTTTATGTAAGCAGAAATCGCTGTGGAGAGATCGCTAAACTCCAGCACATGCATGTTTTCTTATCATCAGCGCTTGTTCCGCCATCAGTCAGCGCGCACAGGGTTGCCAGATTGCAAATAACTAAAACACCGGGCAGAAAGTGGAGCCTTAAAGGAGAAAAGCTGTTTTGGGGACTTAATTTCTTCACATCTGGCAACTACAAGCACGAACGCTAGTGAAGACTTGTTAGCAATGCAAGATAAAAACACGTTTTCAGGATAAATAATGAGCCGGCCAATATCGTGACGATTGTTTTTAATTAATCGAGAAAGGTGGATATCGTTATCGAGATTAAAATTCGATTAATCGTGCAGCCCCACTTTAAGCTGTTTTATTTTCCAAATGTAATAGGACTAGTCCAATGAATCGTATAGTTCGGTTTGTAATGCGTACCGAACCTAAAGCCTCGTACCGAACAGTTCAATATGAATACGTGTATCGTTACACCCCTATATATATATATATATATATATACACATACACGTATACATACACAGGTTCAAGAATTAATTACTTTTTGAAGTTCTCAAACATCATTAATAACACATCTAACATGGTTGCCAAGTTGATTTCATGGCCTTATTTTACAGAGCGGCCGTGTTTTCCTCCTGTGATTAGAGCCGCTTTTATTGACTTTCATTGGCACGGTTCCAACTAAAAGTTGACAACTTAACTCCGGCCTGGAAATGGATGCCACGTCTCCTGACCAGCTCTTACTACCTCGACAGCAGAGCCACTCAGCGTGGGCCTCTGTGTCTGCACCAATTACAAAGATAAATTACTGCCGAGTAATGACACGTAATCACAGCTTTAAAAGAACGACATTCTCCACTTTATTTTTAAAGCCTAATTCTACAAAACAGAGCGTGTAAGACATTTATGTCATTAAGACAGTAAATTACACACAATAGCTCTGGCCAGAAGGAACCGAGTACTGCTAAAGTACTCTAACGGTTTAATTTGGAGGTGTTTTATGTGAATGTTTTTCTATGCGTGATGCAGCTGGATGGCAAAGAAGTCCATGCACGTCTGTATAATTAATGAACAATCGTTTTGACTCCAAGAGGATATTTTCTAGCCTCTGGTAGGGAATTCTTAATAACAAAAAATTAGGTAAAGGCCTCATATTTCAGGCCACAGCAGGAAATGAGTGCAAACACCTCTGGAGTGTTGCCACCAATGTCATCATTTTTTACACGGCGCTGATCTGCCTCTGGCACTACAGACCTCTGCGCATTGCACATGCTGCAGGGCTCTACAGCGCAAGTATTTGTGTGTGGAAATTGCTGTGTGCGAATGTGAAAATGCATTCAGTGACATCTGACCAAAACTTGCTAACATATAATGCTATCAGAATATAAACACCTTACATTCTAATTACACTGCGAATGGCTGCTTTTCAAAGTCAACAAAGTGCCCAAATGCAATGGTTTAGGGATATCCACTATTTTCTTTGTCTACACTTTAGCTGGACTTTAATTACACCATATAGACTTCAATAATAATGTGACCGTTCAATAATATAATTCTAAAAAAGTATTACAT